AGCTCTGCCGCGCCAGGCTTTAATAAAAGGTGAGTGATGGATGCCTGTATGTGCCCTTGGTACAGAAATTCATTCTGACTCTCTTTTCTTTGCTTTTTTTCTCAAGGACTGTTTTCAGAGATTATTTCCTTTGAGTGTTGAGGCTCAGGCTTTCGGTTTTCCCTTGAAGCTCGGTAAAGGTTAGCTCTGACACACTGTTTCAGGAGGGCACAGCAAGTGTGTGATACACACCCCAAGGTAACAATTGGGAGAGGAGGCTGGTGGTTATGTCATCCTTGCTGAAAATAGAGATGGTACCAGAGGGTGCTGCGAGTATCAGCTCGTCTGCGTGGATCTGGCAGGCAGTGAAGTCAGATTGCAGCAGGCTGAGAGATTGGCAGTTGGGAAAGGGACTGGTTTGTAAACGTGGCACTGAATAATTTCTGTGAAGGCACACGTGCTGGAGGAACAGAGTTCATGTCGGGTCATAATCTGAAACAGAACATGGAGGGAGAGGTTAGCACTTTGGGGCTTTTTTTGCTTTGTTTAGTATTATTGCTACTGACTGTGCGTTTGAGCCGGGGTGCTTTGAAGCTCTGCTTTCCTAGGGAGAGCATTTGGTGCCTTTATGCAGAGCACGTGTGCTACATATGCCAGTAGTGCTTGATTTAGAAACTTAGTGTCTTAGCAAGCAGTCACAAATGTGACCAGAAGCATGATGTTACTGTTAAGAGACTTAATTTCCAGTGAAGGACAGGGGGTGAGGATGAGACTCTTGCACCTGGAGATGTGCTCGCTCAAGGCTATTATTGATAATACTGATAAGAGAAGCGAAGGCTTCATGCACAGCCCAGAACACATTCATGTGCTTCACACGTCCGAGATCGCGTAGCTCGTACTGGCCTGTGAATTACGTACGAGAAAGGAGTTGACTTTTCTGACCGTGAGCAGTTGTGCTGGGGGCAGGACGGCTGGGCTGTGTCCTGCCGGCACAGCGGGGCCAGAGCTCTCCGTTGCGTGTCGCCTGGCTGTGCTGTCGGTGAGCTGTGCAGCCACGTAGCTGCTTGCCCGTAACACAGCCAGGCCAAAGACGCCGACAGCTGAGCTGCCAACCGTAGCTCTGCTGCTTTGCGGCTCGTTACCAAAAGCCTCGGGAGAGTTTTTTTGGTTCGTGCTCTGTCTTTATCAGGATTTGTGTTCTAGTTCCTGCTTTCGTAGCTGGCATAGAGCTGCAGCTTTCTGTCATTGCCTAAAGGGAAGCTTTCCGATCTCCATAGTAACTCTTCCCAGGGTCACTGTTATATAATATTTATCGGAGACACAGCCAGGCTTACACAAGAGCTTTTGAAGTCCTCGCTTTAGCCCTGGTGCCGGGCTGGGGAAGACTCCAGTGTGGAGAGGTAGGCTGGGCTGAAGGTGAGCTCGGAAGGAAGGTTGTTACAAGGGCTGTTGCTCAGGAAGGGCAGAGCTGCAAATCCTGTGCCTCGCCAGCGCTCCGTCCTTAGCGAATCCGTGACATTCCCAGAGGAGTGCAAAATGAGGTTTGTAGCCACATGCACAGATCTTTAAAACTCCTCCCTTCCCCTGGAGCTGCCTGAGCCTAAACCAAAGGGCGCTGCCATGAGTGGTTTGGTAGAAATGTTTCCTCGTGTTCACAGACCGGTACCGCTTGTGAGCTGAAGCCTGTCTCCTTCCCGCGGATGTATCTGGTGTGCTGAGGATGCCGCGGGTTGCTCGCTGGTAGGGCAGGCAGCAAAAATGCCGGGACATGGGCCGTGTCGCCTGGCTCTCGGTGCCTGGCCGCAGGGCCCCGCGGTGCCGACCTTCACCGCCGAGCCCGCCTTGTAACCAGGCAGTGCCCGCGCTGGAGGCGACACCGAGGGTTGCAGGCGTGGGGTGGGATGCACCTGCAGGGCGAACCGGAGTGGTTTGTTGTGACGGTCTCTCTCCCACTCAGTTAGGTTTCGCAAAAGGAGGAGTGTTGCAGGGTGGGTACGTTTAGATTTCTAGTGAAAAGGCCAGTATTAGCCTTCGGTAGCAGCCACTTCCTGTGCGTGGGACATCCTATTTCAAACCAAAAGCATTTGCATCTGCGTTCCCGGCCCGTGCGCTCCTGGTTTGTTCTCTTTATCGTCACAGCTCCCGTGTTTTACACACGGTGGCCCAAGTAACACCGGAGTTCCCTGAGCACTGTGGCAGGTGCGGAGGAGGGAGGGGGGTGGGGCTGTGCCATCTGTGTCCCAACACCGGAGTTCCCTGAGCACTGTGGCAGGTACAGAGATGGAAGTGGTGTGGGTCTGTGCCACCTGTGTCACAACTTGGATCTTTATGGGAGCTCATGATTCCAAGTTTGGGGAACTAATCTTTGTAAAAACTTGCTCTTTTTTCCCTGCTCGGGATAACCTGAAGTTGGATCAGGTCTGCTGCGTCCCCGCGCGGGTAGCCGTGCTGGTCCCGGGAGGGGAGCACAGCCCAGAGCAAGTGGAGAATGTGGGAGGTGGAGTGCTAGCGAGGGGGATCTCACGCCTTTGGCAGCAGTGCCTGTTTAACCAAATTACGAGACAAATCACAGAAGGAAGTATCGGCACCACGTTTCTCAAGCGTGAAAGTTGAGGTAAGGCAGCGATGGGCACGCGAGGGTGAGATGAATGGTTTGGCTGGGTTACACTGGCAAGAGGATTCCCACTGATGATCACTGACAGGAAAGACATGGAAGTGCTGAAGGTTCAGGCCCATCCATCCTGTTCCCCAGGACATGGGACTCCTTCTGCTCTGGGCTTTGTCCTTCCCGCCGTGCCCGGTGCTCTTGCTACTCGGCAGCGCCGAGCTGCGGGCAGGAGCCACCCGCCTGCACCAACAGTCACCGGTGCTGAAATACAAATGTCGGTAGCTCCAAGAACTTCCCCCAGCCCTTTCCTGTATTACTTTTCTGCCTAAAATGTGCTTTGGAGGACAAAGGATAATTGATACCGTGTATCCTTGCTACTCATGTGTTGCTTTAGAATAGCAGCTCCCAGACTGTAGTTTTGTTGGGTATTTTCATTCAGTCCTGTGCCCGAAAGAAGGGCTTCTGCTGTTCCTGCTGCTTCCCTGCTTCTCCTGTTTTCTCCTACGGCCGATGCAGGTGTTTGTGCACATGTGGCAAACCTGCTTCGGCTGCTCTCTGGCCCCTTCCCCCCGGAAAGCGTGGGGGGGGCTGCACAGCGTGGCAGCCGGACCCGCTTTAAGTGTTTTGATCCTGTGGTCACAGTCCCAAAGGCCGTAACAAGGACGAGGTTACGACCCCTCTGCGTGGGGATTATTAGCAGAGGACCTTGGGGATCTTTGCAGCGAAGTCTGAGATACTCGGGCGCTGCAGTGTCCTGTGGGGATTGGGGCAGAGCTGGGAATTCCCAATTTCTGGTTCTGAGACCAGCTCTCTGGGCCTGTGTCTTCACTGCTCTGCTTCAATTCCCCATCCAGGGAACGGATATCCCTCTCTTTTTCCCAATGCAGTGATGGTATTAATTGATTTGTTTAGCTTTTTCCTCACGTCTTGATCTCTTCCCACTCCCTGCCCTTCTTCCCACAGATAATCCTCCTGTCTTTGCTACAAACCTATGGCTCTCTTCAGCAAGTACTGATTTAACTTAAAATCAGCGTGAGGCTGCGACTGTTACTGCCCTGTGGGTACCAGTAACCTCACCCAGAGCTACCACTCCTCTTCCCAGGTCCAGACCCAGCCCAGCCTGTGATGTACCCGCCTGGCTGTGCCCTGAAGCTTGCTCAGTCCTTCCTGTCCTGTAGCTGGACCTGTCCCGGCCGAAGTCCCAAATGCAGGGTTTGCTGTGTGAGAAGTGATTGACATCACCTGCCTTCTTCCTGTTCTGGTCTTAAAGCCTTTTTCTTTCTTCAGGAAGAAAGTCGGTGAAAACTCATCTGCTGCGTAGGAGGAAAGAGATCCTAATGCGGAGAGCGCTGAACCTGGGATGGGGTCGTTGGACCTGGGGTAGACTAGACGTTAGGAAGAGGGTGGTGAGACCCTGGCCCAGGTTGCCCAGAGAGGTGAGGGAGGCTCCATCCCTGGAGACTTTCAAGGTCAGACTGGACGCGGCTCTGAGCAACCTGATCCAGCTGAAGATGTCCCTGCTCCCTGCAGGGGGGTTGGACTAGATCACCTTTAGAGATCCCTTCCAGCCCAACACATTCCATAATTCTATTATATGATTCTAAACTGAGCACCTGGTGCCACAAGCACCTCTCCAGCCCTGCCTGCCATGTGCTTCTCCTACTGCTCATGCAGCTGGGCACTTGAGCTAGAGAAGGGAACTGGAAATAAATAATTTTGGGGTTAGTTTTCAGCCTGTTTAGTTCCTTGATCCAACTCGATGTGTAGCTGCATAAATAATGCTCTTGGCGCTAGGAAAGTCCCGGGGGAGGCAGCATTGCCTCTGCTGGGGAGAGCTCGCAGTCAGGTTGTCTGCAAGGGATCCTGAAAGTGCACCCTGAGAGCAGCCTGACCCTTCAAGGCAGAGTCTACTTGTCCCTAAAACCTCACTGTTTTAGTATCTCATGCTGCACTTGAGGGGAGGAATATGAATTCTAAAATGGCTCTCTCAGGTGGGGCAGGGAGAACGTTTAGGAAGGCTCGGGGCCTGGTGGGGACAGCTGGAACCTCCTTCTGCCTGTGCCGTGAACCTGCTGCGTTAATTCACAAAGGTCAAGGGATCCCTCCGCGGGTTGTTTCACCGTCTCTAAGTTGGAAACAGAACCACCCAGAGGGCGACAGGGGATTGCAGGAGGGGGTTTGTTGTTGCTGCGGAGATGCTGTGGGATCTGTAAGCAAAGTCATCCTACAAACAGTGTGTTCATTTTTGCCTTTGTTACCCTTCATAAAAGGATAAACAACAGCACCTCTCAGTGGGCAACAGCAAGAGCACAGTGGGACCTCCACGCAAAATTTCACCAGACCAAACTCTTCCACAGGCTTTGTATATGTTGTCTGTTTTATCTAAAGTTTCCCTCTTACACTTTTCTCTGAAATGCCTGCAATAACTCCTGAGTTACAACAGAAGGCAGCCTTTGGTCTGAGATTTCCTTGCCCAAATGATGATGCACAACCTAACGCTCATCACCAGAATCTGCCGTTAGATGTCTCCGAGTGGCCCATTTTCGAGGGGATAATAGCTCCTATTCAAAACACTGGCATAAGAATTCTGTTCGAGTCAGCTTACGTTTCCCCCACAGCCTTGTGGTCGCCACTTGAAACAAGGATGCTGTTTAAAAAAAAATAATAATCGCATAGTGTAACACAACATTTGGAAAACGCCCCGTGCTGTTTTCAGAAAGAACAAGGCGGTGTTGGGCTTGACTCTGGGAAGCTCGTGATATTAATCGCTGCGGAAGCTCCTTTGCTGGGTTACATTCAGTTAATGGCATTTTGGACCCTTGTTTCCCTCGGGAGGATGAGTTTCTCCACTGACTGACTGGCCTCGCTGCGGGTGCCCGAGCGCGTGGTGGGGATCAGCTGAGCGGCCCCGGCTGCTGGCGTGGGGCTGGGCGGTGGGAGCGACCTGCGGTGCCTGTGCTCGAGGCTGCAGGTTCTGAGAGAGCTGCCGAGTGCCACCAGTACCGAAAACTGCCTGAGGACTCATCCTGTCCCTCTGACACACGGAGGATCCGCAGAGATTCGTTTTCTCTTGGTTTAATTTCGCTGTTGGTTAAGAGGGTTTATGTCCCCAAAGGGCCGTGCTGGTTCTGGTTCAGTTCAGCTTGTTTCTAATGCGTGTAAGATCGACTGGTTTTGGTGTAGTTTGAGTCAAACTTTGGCTATTGGCAGAGCCAGTTTGGTGAATTTATCAAGGCCAGTTCAAGATAGAACCACGTGAATGTAAGCTGCCTTTCCCCTTGTCCCTGCCAAGGGTTGCCTCCTCACCTGAGACATCGGAGCTGTGAGCCGGGGCGGCTGAAGAGCAATACACAGCCTGTTCTGGTTCCCCTGGAAAAGAGGGTGAAAGCTGGGGAGGGCTGAGAGCGATGCCAGCCTAACTCCGGTGTGATGTTCACCAGAAGCTGCCTCTTGCCTCTGCCAGCACCACCCCAGAGGAACAGTTTTGCCAGTGCTGGGGGTCAGAATCGCGCCCCTGAACGCAGGGCTCTGCTTCATCTGCTGCTCCCTGAGCTCTCGGCACACAGCTGGGTGTAAGAAGCGAGTAGGAGGCTGACAGGAGACCTTCTTGCTCTCTACAGCTACCTGAGAGGAGGTCGTAGTGAGGTGGGGTCGGTCTCTTCTCCCCAGTAATGAGCAGCAGGACGACAGGAGATGGGCTCACGTTGTGCCAGGGCAGGTTTAGGTTGGTTATGAGGAGGAATATCTTCTCCGAAAGGGAACATGGGTCAGTGGTGGCCCTGGCAGTGCTGGGTTAGTGGCCGGACTCGATGATCTTGAAGGTCTTTCCCAATCTAAATGATTCTACGATTCTATTTTCTCCAGAAGTGGGAAGTGTTTAAGAAGTGGGACTGACAGAGAAGGTAATTGGAGGAGCAGCCTGGCATAAAAGGCTGGCGGGGGAACAGGGTGTGGCGGAGCGGGAGTAAGGGCTGGGTGGAGGTAGAGGAGGCGGAAGGATGGAAGGAGTCGAGACTTCGCTGGCTCAAGTAGTGCAAATTCTGAAGATTCAATCTTGACGTTGGTTCTTTCTGCTGAGCTAGTGTGAGTAGCTGAATAAACACTAATTTTAATGACTGAGGCTCATGTTTTTTAACAAACCCCATCACGCTCGTGTAATATGGGAGAACTAATTACATCTGAATAATGCTTGCAATAAGTTAACATGCTTCTCACAGCGTTCTTCAGTGGTTTTAATCAACTTTATTTGTCTGCTTGCCTTTCTTCTCAGTGAAAATTGTCATCCGTGGGGACAGGAACACTGGGAAGACCACACTCTGGCACCGACTGCAGGGAAAGAAATTTATTGAGGAATATATCCCAACTCAGGAGATCCAAGTCACCAGCATCCACTGGAATTATAAAAGTAAGATGGAAGAGGGTGGAGGGAGTGACAGTCATGGGACGGTGCCTTGGGGCAGAAATTCCACAGCAGCATCGTTTGCTTTTTTCCTTCTATGTCTGCTTGGGAGATAAAATGGTCTCTCATCACTCTTGTTATTTTAATTTATAATTCACAGTTTCTCAGTCATGTTTTTAATAAAACTTCAGAAACCGTAGAAGTGCTAAAGGATAGGTCTTTGGAAGCTGCAAGTCGAGGAAAGTGTTAAATAGGTGATGCGAAAGCTTTGAAATATTTGTGATGCACTCGTTAAGGAAAACAGGCTTATTACGGAAATCATCTCTGAGGCCAGCCCTGCTTTTGGTGTTACTGTGTTGTGTAGAAGTGAATAGCACGGTGCAAACTAGTTTTTTTACTGATTAAATTCCAAAGAGCCGTCCTATAACTGGTGAAGGTTGTGTTTTAAAAATGATTGTAGTGCTGATAGCTCTGGGCTGACTTACTGAGGCGCATCAGTAGCTTTTTTTAAGCACTTGTTTGAGTCGGAGAGATGAGGTGTGAATGTTTTTTTTCTCCCCATCTGCTCTGACAGTATCAAGAGGCTACCAAAGCCCTGGATCTCGCCTGGAGAGGAGGCTGCGAGTGTTGGAATTGCGTAAGGCTGTGATTCAGCGGTGCTTTCAGTCTCGCGTTCAGGTTCCCCATCAAAAATGCCCCAGCCTTGTGGGGTGAGCTGCGGATTCTGTAGGAACGTGCTCTGTAAGACTGATTTTGCTTAAAAAAGACAAAACAAAAAAAGGTCAGCAGTTATTCTCCCATTATCAGGCATCATCCGTCTGCACCGCTCTGACCTTTTGTCAAGTCAGAGCTGGGAAAACCCCCACAAACTGTGCGGTTTGGGTAAACGCCAAACTGGGTGCATTCGCCAATCACGTTTTTGTTGCTGGGTGATACCAGGATGCCCAGGTCTGGTGGTGAGGGTGACGGAGCCCTAGGATGTGTTCCCCAGCGGTCGGCCTCGGCACGGCGCGTTCTCCGTCTCCGCTGCCTTCCTGGGCTTCAGCGTGAGGAGAGCGAGCAGGCGCCGCTGTGGTCACCAGGGTTCTGGAGGCTCTCGTGCCCGTGTGAAGACAGGCTTCCGCGTGGGTCAGCTCCCTCCTGACAGGAGCTGGAAAGGTTTGCGAGGGTGGGCGGTTGGGATCTACCTCGGATGGGGGAGAGGAGCGGGTCATCCTTGCTCAGGACAGCCGGCGGTTTTCTCTCTCTCGGGGTCGGATGTTGAGCTAAGCCTGACATCACGGGTTTTCAGATTGTTTCACGGGACTCTCTGTGTGACCATGATGCGAAGGCGTGCCTGACAGCTTCTGCATTTCCTTACAAAGTATCTTTATTTTGGGTACCATCTTCCAGATGTTCTGCCTGACAGTTGGCCCGAGGCATTGACAGGTCCGTGGTGTTCCTGCCGTGGTGTTCCTCCTCTGCAGCCAAACCTCCATCGCGTTGGATTTTAGCTGTGGCATCCTTCCACCCCGCCACACTCCTCTTCCTCTCTCTCAGAGTATCAGCCTCGCGGTTATTGGTGTGTGAATGTAGAGCTTGCAAGTTGTTGCACCTCCAAAATCACACTTGAATGCTTCAGCCTGTGCAGACGGAGGTTGGAGTAAGAAAAGGAACACCTCTTTCTGAGATACTCAAGCCTGAGGAGTGCACTGATTGGTAATGGGGGGTTTCTGCCGTGTTGCAGGTAAAATCTTCAGAGTTCGGTTTCCTGTCTCATCAGCTTAGGGAATACAAGTGCTGTTTGCAAACACAGCCCACATTTGATTTTTAAGAGGCTTATTCATAGCTAATTGTTTTTGTCTACGTGAACAGGAATACAAAATGCATTTAGACAGATTTTTGTATCCCTGCAAAAAGGTGTTTGGAGAAAGATCCGATCGTCTCCCGTGTTCCTGCATATTTTAGGGACTGTTTGTTCTCTCCCTGAGCTGCGGCTCAGACACTGGCTTTTCCAACATGGACGCGACCCGGGGTAGAAAACAGCAATTCTGGAGGCTGCCTCTTGCAGTGTGGTGGTAACCGCAGGTGTGGTTCTGATTTTTAGCGCTTGGTTCTAACGTTGGTGTGATACGTGTCTGTAGAGCTTGCCGGTCAGAGTTGGCAGCAGTGGGTACACGCAGGGATGGACTTTTCCCAAGGTGCAGTGGTGCTGAGCTAGTCGAAACATCTGGAAAGCCGTAGGTGAAATTGTGCCTTTCATTGTGAAACATTGCATTCTTAGTAGTAATTTCCAGCAGCGTAGGAAATTCTGTGCTGACCTTCTTAAAACTTGCTTTAAAAAAATAACCCCCTTTTTCAGAAATGTTCTAAGGTCCATTTCCTGCTCTGAAAATTTTCCATCCGAGATGGGTGATGTGGGCGCTCCGAGAAATTGGCTCAGATCTAATTAACGCCCTGTTGGCCGAGTTAATCTGTACAGGAGAAATGAAGTTTGTTTTTCCTATGATCCTGCTCTCAAGCTACCCTGAATAAACATTCTGAGGTAGCTGGCAGCAAATATTTACGGTTGTTAATTAAATCGCTGTCAAATATTGAAGGATTCTTAAATTGCTGGATATTAGAAGATTCACATTTTAGAGGTGAAACATATACCAGCTTGTCGTGTCTTCAGAAAATTTATACTGGAGGGTTTAATAAAGGTAGAGGAATGTGAATTACTTCTTCCTACTTACATTGAACGAAATTACTTTTCTGTGCCAGTTGTCTCTGTAGTGGTTGTTTGTACTTTCCGTGTCCACGTAAGGAGTTACTGTTCCTGACCTAACGACTGCTTTTTTAGATTATGCCAGTCTCCGGTTTTATTCTCTGCCTGGCAGTCTCGGAGAGGGAGTTGGAAATAAAAACTGGCAACTACTTCCGTTCAGATGCTTTGAGTGCTTTACAGATGGGTGTGAGGAATGGCAGAGCTGCTCTGCTCGGTAGGGTTTGTGATCCAGAGCGTATGAAGTGAATCCTGGAATTGCGTGAGAGTAAATATGTCTGGGAGCCCGTGAATAAAGCCAGAAAGCGGGGATTTATTTTTTTAAAATGAGCTTTCTTGCCGTTGGCGTCTTCTCTCGCCTCTTCTCCTTTCTTCTGGAAAAGCAATGCCTTAATGTGCCGCTGGCTGCAGGGTGCAGAGCCAGAGAGCAGCCTGGTGTAGATCTTTGGGGTGGTTGGATCTGTGGTTTGTGCTAATCCCAGCTGGGGAGCTGAAGGGATGACTTGGCACTCCTTGCCTCCCAGAGCTGTTCAGGGGAAACGCTGCCGCGTGTGAGTCATCCCCAAACCAAGGCAGCAGCACTGAAGTAATTATCCCCGTGTGTGTTCAGGATAATCAGAGACGAGGCTGGTGATGAAGAGGAAGAACCTACTGGTGATGAGCCTGCAGGAGCACTGGTACCACCAGGAGGAAAACCCACAAGGAGAAATGGTTTTCTTGGATCTCATGCAGTCAGTTTGGCTGGCTGAGGGAGCTGGGGTTGTTCAGCTTGGAGAGGAGAAGGCTCCGGGGTGACCTCATAGCACCTGCCAGCCCATGGAAGGGGCTGCAGGGGGGCTGCAGAAGGGCTTTTTACAGGGGCCTGGAGTTACAGGACAAGGGACAATGGCCTGAAACTGCAGGGGGGCAGATTTAGATTAGATATAAGGAAGAAATTCTTCCCCATGAGAGCGGTGAGGCACTGGCACAGGTTGGCCAAGGAGCTGTGGATGCCCCATCCCTGGAGGTGTCCAAGGCCAGGCTGGATGGGGCTTGGAGCAACCTGGGCTCTGCCCCACAGAGAGGTGTCCCTGCCCACAGCAGGGGGGTTGGAACGAGGTGATCCTCAGGGTCCCTTCCAGCATTAACCATTCTGCGATTCTGTGAATCTGTTGTTAAAATTCCCTGCTTCCCCTCAGACAGAAGGGTGTAGAGCAGGTCTTTGTGGTCAGACTCCTCAGCTCTCAGGGCGCGGTGCTCTCAGCAGGGTGTCCGTACTGCGGAACAAATCTTAATTCACTGAGGGTGCATTTGGTGTCCGGGTAAGGAGGTGGAGATCTCGAGTTCAGGAGCCAAGTCCCACACTGGCTGCTGGGTCACTGCCCGTCACCCCACCCCTGCACACTGGCTGTGCTGAGGTGGGGTTCCAGCCCCCCTGTGGTAACGCTCACGTACTGCTAGAAAGAGTGAGTAGCGCTGCTTCTTCTCTCCAACCATCCCCTGTCCTTTGCCAGAACATCTTGACTCTTGGAAGGCACCGGGGTTGACTTTGCTGGTCTGACAGCAGCAGCGCTGCCAGTCCCAGCTGCAGGGGGTGAATTTGGGGTTGCCCTGCACCCGGAGCCGCTCACGCCCCAGGGAGAGCTCCTGGGCTGTGAGTAGCGGCCGTACGTGGGTGGCAGGTGAGCGAGTAACGGGGAGCGGTCAAACTTCAACCATGCCTGGCTTGATGGTCTGTGCAGATACTCAGGGAAGGAATTAATTTGGGGAGTTGAACCGTTCCAGCAGAGGTTTCGGGGCTGCTGTACACCGGTTGTGTTTTCAGTCCCTTCCCAGCGGGGGCTGCGCTGGCCGAGCATCGCGCTGTGCCCGGCTGCGCCACTGGCACAGAGGAACTCGCTGTGACAAAAAACAGAGGCTGGTTTTGCTTCATGCGTGAATGCAAAATAGATCCTTCCCCAGAAGCAAAGAGTCAAAGTTTTCCTTTATTCATAATCTGTCGTTACAATATTTGGAAATGTTTAAGTTAAGCCAGCAGTGAATTCTGTGGAGGAAATGTTTCCTGGCTTGACAGGGGCACTTAGTCAAGTTCTCTTGCCATCCCGTGAGATTATTTTCTACTCTGAGATGTTCAGACCTGCTCCAAGTATAAAGTTTTGCTTTGTAGCCTGTAGCATTTCCAAAACCCAACTGTTTCCTGGAGCAACGTCATGAAGACCGGGCGGCTTATTTGGATTCAACAGAAACATCTAAGCAAAGCTGCCCTCCCTCGCGCCGTCTGAAAGTTGAGCTGCTCGCAGTCAGGACCTGGGAGCATAGTTAGGATTTCATAGAATCATAGAATCACAGACTGGCCTAGGCTGGAAGGGACCTTAGAGATCATCTAGTCCAGCCTCCCTGTTTTGGGCAGGGACACCACCTCTCGACTAGATCAGACAACACATGGGGACCGAGCGGGATTTGGGCTGTCTTGGTTCAGAGTTTAGCAACTTAAATATTCATGTGTTGCTGCTCATAATTTACTGATGCTGCGGCTCATTAAGAGGCAAAATTGCTCTTAATACCTTATTTTTCACAAACTGCAACTTGGAATTTGCAGAAGGACTGGATTTCCATAGCCACAGGGCTGGCTGCACTCTCCATCACGTTCATGTGAAAATGTTATTAGTAAGGTTTATCTTCCTTGAGTGTGTGTATTCCTTTTTTTATTCAATTGTACACCTGGCTGATAGACAAGACTTTGATCTCCAAATTAAATTTTTGTATTTTTTGGAAAGAATATGGAATCCTCTCTGTGTTAAGAGTCTACACAGAATGTTTAGAACATGCTTTGAATCTGACCTAAAACATGGAGGAAATGGAGCTATTGCTTCTGTGACTAGTAGGAGACTTCCAGAAGTTCTCTTCCTTCAAGCACTGGGCCTTCTGCTTATTATGTTTGAGTTTTAATTCATTCATTTAATACATTCATCTGTTTGGCCATTTTGACATTCATCTGTTGGTCATTTTGCCAAAACCCTCTTCTAACCCTTTGTGTTCTTCTTGTGCTTTTAGCCACTGACGATATTGTTAAAGTTGAAGTCTGGGATGTAGTTGACAAAGGTAAGATTTCTAACTTCCTTTCTAATGGAGATGTATTGTTCTTTCTCAGTTTTAATTAATAACTGACATGGAATTCAGAAATACCCACTTCTATTGTAGAAAATCATCTGTATTTGTTTTTTTCAAGTGCATGGATGTTACTTCCTGAAAAATATGAAGAAAAAGGAGGGAGAGGAATCTCCTGCGCTAGAGCCCGTTATTTGAAATCTGAATGTCAGATAAAGTCCAATATTCAGAAGCAGTTGTTCCATGGGCTCCGTGACAGATGAAATAGTCTGCTGCTTAGTGAATTCACATTCTCTGAACTTTATTATAAACTTCATCTTCTCTCCTTTATAGTTTTATATATGTTCAGGCAGCTACTGAGTTCTTTGTTCTGTTTATAAAAGTCCTTGCTGAGCTGTTTTTGAAAGGAATGCTATTGTTAAATTGATGAAATGTTATCTGCAGTGGGTAATGTATGCAGGAGGGAAGGATAAAAGAGAAGCCAAGAAGCCAATTACTTAAATTCACTTAGAACAGAAAATGCAATATATTTAATCCAAAGTCTTTTCTCAGTGCTTAGCCAAGGGAAGCATTACGAGGTATAAATACATTTTTCATTAGTTTGGCAGAGTATAAAATTATATTTTACAAAAAAATAAAAACAACCCCCCAAACACGTATGTGAAGACCCGATCTGGATGCAGCGCGAATCTGTCTGCAGCAGCATCTTTTGCTGGAAGGGGCTGGGCTTCACACGTCAACCTTGGCAGCCCCTTCTGTAGCCCCACACGCAGATACTTTGGGGCTTTTAGGAGGCGTTTTGTACGAGCCACGCTGGGCACAAGAAGTGCACGGGGGAGGAAAAGTAATTTTGTGTGTTAGTTAAGTTGTATTTGAAATAACAAAGGTACTTAAAGGTAGCAACTCTAGGTCAGAAGCATAATGGAGCCTTTAGGTTAAACTTGAGCCAGTAACTTCAAGTGAAAATCCTGGGCGCTTTAGCTCCTTATTCTTTTAAACCCTACTTTTCGCAGCGTAGACAGAACTGTGCTTAGGTCAGGGTTACTGCTGAAGACCGTCTGATTAGAGTCTGGCTTTCAGATCCTGGGATGACATGTGCAGGGCTGGATTTGGAGCACAGCAGCTGTTTTCTCGCTGCCTTGCAACTTTGTATGAATAGATAGACAGTTAATTTGGGAATCATGTGGTTCCAGCACTTATTTCTGTGAATGGCTTCCCGGAGCAGTCATCTTCTCACTGGAGACTTGTAATTTTTTTTTTGGCAAAGCGGATTGGAATTCGATACGTGCAGATGTTGGTAACAGCTCTTCTGATACCGCTTTCATTTCTGACAGAGGAGCATATGTTAGAAATCTCAAGGGACTCTCCTCTCTCTGCTTTACTTTCTTTTGAATTAAAACTCATCATGTTAAGATCCCGACTTGCGGGCCACGGTTCTGTATTTTTATGTAATCACACATCCTTAATCGATGCAGCGTAAAACTTCAGATCACTGTGACGTAACAAAATCCAACCCTTTCCTGTTGCCATCGTGTTGCAGATTCTCGATGTGTACAAATTAACATGCAAATTAACCATTACGAGCTTGCTTATATCCAACTTTCATCTTAATGTTTTCTCTTGACGTTTTTGTTCTTCCTTCTGTACACTCAGGACAAAAAATCCTCCTGCGTGATGCTTTGGGTGAGAGCGACGCTGATCTAGGCTCTAGACTTCTAGTAGTGAAGTACCCAGTGCTGCTGCAGCGTAGTGCAGACATGACCTGCTCCTCCTTTTTTTTTCCTTGCCTGCCAGGTCCTGGCTATTGTGCATATTTAGAGTTGTGCAGAACGCTGCCTTTATCAGGCTGGGTTTGAAACTGGCAAAAAATGCAGATTCTGAACATGCGTTTGAAGACACGTTGTTTTCCAGGCTAAACGTTTTTTTGCCAATGTCTCCCCATTTTGGAATAATTGGTTCTTGTTAGAGAAAATGAAAAGGCCTCTACTTAAATTACGATGTTTGAAAATGTATTGACAGCCCGCTGTGGGGCTGTAGCTAGATTGTCTGGAAGATGTATCCATGAACTGCAGTTTTCAACTTTAGTCTTATAAAGCAGCTCCAGCCTCTCCTCTGCTCCACCGTGCTTCTGCTCTTCATGTCTGGGTGTGAATGCGCCCGGGAGGATTTGCAGAACCTCGATAAGTCACACCCTGAGTAGCTTCAGGTGCCGTTTTGCCCTGAAGCTGACCGTGGCTTCCTGCAGCGGTGTTTCTCCTCGCCCTTCCCGGCAGCGTGCTGCCCCGTCCTCGTGAGCTCAGCAGCGTGCTGTGATTTTTCCCTCCAGCCGGTGTTAGGAGTGCGGGCGGCAGCGCTCTTGGCCAGGCGGTGCCTCGGTGGCAGGTGTTCAGCTGGGAAGCACGGGGAGAAGACTTGGGGCAAAAGCTTTGCCGGGAGGTTGGCCAGTGCGCTGGCACAGGGGGCGACGGCACCGCTCTGCTGTACAGCTCCTCCGGCCTTCTCCGGGACTCTTGGGGATTTCTTTGTTTGAATGTGCCAGCCTCCCTCAGAGAGCGGGGCTTGTTAGTGTAACGATGCCGTTTGTTAAAATCTCCACAACTCGAGCTTGCCCCCAGCTATGGGTTGTGCTGAATTTTGTGTGTACTAAGAACCATCTCCTTTGGTGCCCTTGGAGCTCAGGGAGGGCAGGAGAGAGATCGCTCAGCAGGAGTCCCAGGCCTGACTCATCTTTCTGGCTTTGCAGCAAGTTGTGTAACCGCTGCAGGTCATAAAGCTGAAACAGATCCGGAATGCAAAGAAGCTGCTCGAATGCAGTTGATTCAAGAGCAGATCTGATCTCCTGCCTTGTAACTTCTGCTTGTTTAGTTCCTGCATCTTTTCCCAGACGCTAACTGAAGGAATCAAACGCTGGTTTCTCCTGTTGCCCCCAAAACAGTGTAAACTCTTACCCTCCTATTGGAGCTTCCTTTCCTCTCCCTGCCCCTTCACTCCTCTCCCTCTCAGAGGTGTACTGCAAGAAGAAGGAAAGATAAGAATTAATATTTCTATTATTGTCAGATGTCTTAAATTAGATAACACTGTGGTTGCCAACATTCTAGACGTATTTTCAAGCGGTGAACAGAAGCATCTCCCTCATGCTGTGGACAGCGTTGGCTGGCAAAGCTCTACTGAATCCTTCCTATCCTGCAACAAAACTGAGGGTCCCTGGGGGTGCAGAGGCTCTGGGGTGCTGACCATGAACCCAGCCTTCTGGCGCTGAGTAAGAGCTGCCCTGCAGGCTTCGGGGCACCGCTGCAGGGCTGTTTGGTTTCAGTGCTGGTACGCCCGTACACAGGATCAGTCAGCGTTCCGAGTAGAGGAGCCGGGCGATCGCAGCTTTCTGATTGAGGCTCCTACATTACACATCAGTGCAACCTTAAAGACAGGACCTTGCTCGTAAAACAACACGATCTTCATTGTGCGTTTGCCTCCCTGGGCCGAATTGCATCTTTTCGCTACCGATATCTTGTTATGTGACTCGTCCTGCAGTTTGGGTTCCAAAAATAGGCACTGTGCATGAATACATACACACATGCGCTTTTCAGCTCGGTGACTCCTTTACAGCTGACCTCCTTTACAGCAGTGATGAGCATCGTGTAAGAATATTACTCATTCCTCTTGATACACACATAAAGCCATAAGCAGGGAGAGGCGTGCGAGTCCTGTGTTCGGTCTCGAGGCATTGGTTGTAAATGTGTCTGGGTTAGAAAGACACCTGAATAGTGTTTGTGGTTGCTCAGGCTTCTGTTTCAATACCTAGAAATTCCGGTTATGCTGTAGCAGTAACTGCAGAAATAGTGGGTTTGACATTCCGAGAAGCCACACGGATGCCACTGAATGAAGCGAATTTAATTGAAGTGGGAAAAGGCATGCATGGCCCGGACAGCCCACACCTTCAGTTGCACTGGGAAAAATCAGAGCCCCTACTCGGATCATCCAGGGAAACACGTTGTGTTGGTGGGAGAGGATCAGGATGAATATTTCTGCTGCTTTCGGACGTCAACAAGTGGCACAAGGGGGGGCAAGCATGTTGCAGTGATGTGCAGAAGCACCCACCAGACACGCTGTCAGAGCGCAGGGACTGCAATATCCTGCTGCATTAGAATTTCCATTAATGTAGTTCATAACTCTTTATCCTTGACCTGCGTGCAAAAAGAATGAAGCGCTTTGTTTCACCTGCAGAGTCTGGCAGAACTGTGAATTTTGCAGGTGGTCATTCCGTGTTGATCAGGAGAGTTGGAGGTTTGGTGGAAGCAGAGTCAACAGGAGGGGTTTTTGTGGCTGCATCCAAGTTGCCAGCATGTTCTGTTGTCAGCGACATGGGGAATTTCTAGAAATTATGAGAAGCAATTCCAGTTCTCTGCCATTATACTTCAGTTAACTCATTGTTTTGTAGACCAGGAAGATCCAGAACAAGTTAATTCAGGCGGACAGTTCTTAATCACTCGCAGTAACATCTGGAAGATATTTGGTGTCTCTAAAAGGTAACTCCAGAGCTCTCAGGGTTAGTCATCATGCAGTGCTCGGCATTTGATAAAGCTCTGGAAGCTGCTATATGGAGATGGAGTTTAAACAATACCTGGGGAGTGAGGACAGATGTGTCCGTGCTAAGATTCTTTGGCAGCAGATGGAAGAAGATGTCCTCACTCTTACATACGGAGACTCCTGGCAAACCTCAGTGCCGAGCGTCTACAGCAGAAGATGCCGTTAGCTGGCAGGCACTCTGCTCATCACAGCTACACACACGCAGTGTCCTTTTCTTGGGCTGCCAGGGCTGCAGACTTTAAGATTTTGGAAACCCAGTTACAGTAGAACTGATGTAACGCAGATTTTCAGGGAGCCTGAGATTTGCAAACACTGAGGCATGCCGAGACAAATGCCGGTTTGTGAACTTACCCAGCGCAAACTGAAGCTGTAAGAAAAGGGAGAAGTCTTGGGGGACCTGCCCTTCAAGCGTAAGGGCCGTGTTTTAGCATGTGCCTTTGAGGAAGCAGATGAGTTGGAGACAAACCTGTAGATCCCTCCAGATGGGATTCTGGCTGTGGGACTGCAGGGTGAGCACCTGGTGTGGTTTTCTAGTGTCTTCTCCACATGTTTAGCTTGTTGCCTCTTGCACTTTTCCTGGGAGTTAATCAGAGTTTTGCCTGTCCTCCAGCTGCTTTTTGTCTACGTGTCTCAGGATCTTTGGATGGTGCCTCTGGAGGATTTTCTTCCTGCACCTTGGCTGGTGGGGACCAGACCTGACCCTCTGGCTCTGGCCTTTCACGCACGTGTTGGCTGCCTCTCCTCTATTTCAAGCCCTCTTGCCACGATTTATTTTTGATTTTGCTTGCATTTTCACGTGTAGAAGTTCCATCTGTCTTTTGGCTGTTACATTCTCACAGTCACCTGCCACCTCACCCCCCTTGTTTTTGTTTTTTGTGGTCCCAAGTCAGCCCAAAGCACCTGATGAGCTCCGAGACCACATTTATTTGCAGGACTGCTTGCTGCAGGTTGGTGACACGGCCCAGGAACATCGCAGCATCGCACAGGAGGGCTGCGAGCTGGTCAGTCATGGCAGCCCCACGATCTCTTGGCTCTTCAGCATTACTCCAACAAAAAGAGCGACAAAGCAGCTTCCCTTTGGGGTCAGGGAGTGCACCAAACCCTGTGTCGTTCAGTGACTGCGACTTTATGCTCTGAAGGGTGGGGTTTAAGCTGTGCCAGACTGTCTTCCTGTTCACCTTGGAATTAGACTAGCTGGTACTCTTGAGCAGGGTAGCTGGTATTCCTCAGCAAGGCGTGCTTGTCCCGGCCCTCCTCCCTCCCCATGCTTTTAGTAGAAGTCAGAACTGCTTTAAGGTCATGTTCAAAATGTCATGGTCCTGCCCAGACCCATCCTGGAGTTCTCTGCCCAACGTAACGCTTTTTCTTTTTTTTTTTTTTTTAAAACAATTCTTTTTAAGGAAAATGCAAAAAACGAGGAGATGGCTTGAAACTGGAAAATGACCCTCAGGAGGTGAGTCACCTTGAAAACGGATGTCTGCCTCTTAGCAGGAGGCCTTTGGTCCACGGAGAGTAAGTTCTATATTTGTTTCCACTTCAAGGCTGGCCTGGCAGGCGCACGCGGGGCAGTGTGATCCCTGACCCTCTTCACTCCTTTACCCAGTGCATTTTATCCTGGTTCGTGCCCTCGCCACAACTTCCCTGCTGATTCCATTCTGCCTTTTGGGAATGGCTGTGCCCCAGATGTTTCCTTGGCAGCCCAGGGGC